GTCCTGCCCAGCACTGGCACCAATCTCATCCATCCCAAATCCCAATCCTGACCCGAAACCCAAATCCCATCACCATTGGCCCGTTCGCTGCTCTGCATCCTGCCCAGCACCAGCTCCAATCCCATTCCAATCCCAATCCTGACCCCCAATCCCAATCCCATCACACACAGGCCGACTCGCTGCTCTGCGTCCTGCCCAGCACCAGCTCCAATCCCATCCCAATCTCATCCTAACCCCAATCCTGATCCCATCTCAATCCCAATCCAACCCCAATCTCGCCCCAACCCAAATCCCAATCCCATCCCCATCACACGTAGGCTGACTCACTGCTCTGGGTCCTGCCCAGTGCGGGCTCTGATCCCATCCATCTCTCCTGACCCCAATCCCAATCCTGACCCCAATCCCAATCCTGATCTCATCCCAATCCCAATCCCATCCTGACCCCAATCCCATCCCAAACCCCCAAACCCCATCACACATTGGCTGACTCGCTGCTCTGTGTCCTGCCCAGCACCAGCTCCAATCCCACCCCAATCCTGACCCTAAATCCCAATCCCCAATCCCATCACACACAGGCCGACTCGCTGCTCTGTGTCCTGCCCAGTGCCGGCTCTGATTGTGTCCATCTTTCCTGACCCCAATCCCAATCTCAATCCCATCCTGACCCCAGTCCCATCCCAAACCTGTCCATCCCCATCCCCATCACACACAGGCCGACTTGCTGCTCTGCGTCCTGCCCAGCACCAGCTCCAATCCCATCCCAATCCCAATCCTGATCCCATCCCAATCCCATCCCAATCTCAATCCCATCCCAAACCCCAAACCCCATCACACATTGGCCTGTTTGCTTCTCTGCATCCTGCCCAGTGCCAGCTCTGATCCCAATCCAACCCCAATCCCAGTCCTGATCCCATCCCAGTCTCAATCCCATCCCAAACCCCAAACCCCATCACACATTGGCCCGTTTGCTTCTCTGTGTCCTGCCCAGCACCAGCTCCAATCCCATCCCAAATCCCAATCCTGACCCCAATCCAACCCCAATCCTGACCCCAAATCCCAACCCCATCACACGTAGGCCGACTCGCTGCTCTGTGTCCTGCCCAGTGCCAGCTCTGATCCCAATCCCACCCCAATCCTGACCCCAAATCCCATCACACGTAGGCCGACTCGCTGCTCTGCGTCCTGCCCAGTGCGGGTTCTGATCCAATCCCAATCCAACCCCAATCCCAAATCTGTCCATCTCCTTTCCTGACCCCAATCCCACCCCAAACCCCATCACACACAGGCCGACTCCCTGCTCTGCATCCTGCCCAGCACCAGCTCCAATCCCACCCCAATCTGACCCCAATCCCATCACACGTAGGCCGACTCGCTGCTCTGCGTCCTGCCCAGCACGGGCACCGATCCCATCCCAATCCCAATCCTGATCCCATCCCAATCCCATCCTAACCCCAGTCCCGATCCCATCCCAATACCACTCCAATCCTGACCCCCAATCCCAAACCCCCCTGTGTCNAGAAATTTGGGGGTGAAATTTTGGAGGCTTTTGGGGGAAAATCCTGGAAATTTGGGGGTGAAATCTCAGCAGTTTTAGGGACAAATCCCAAAAAATTTGGGGCTGAAATTTCAGAGATTTGGGAATTAAATCTCCACAGTTTTAGGGAAAAACCTCCGAGATTTGGGGGTGAAATCCTGGGGGATTTGGGGACAAATCCCAGAAAATTTGGGGCTGAAATTTCAGAGGTTTTGGGGGAAAATCCTGGAAATTTGGGGCTGAAACCCCACAGATTTGGGAATTAAATCCCCACAGTTTGGGGGAAAATCTCCGAGATTTGGGGGTGAAATCCTGGAGGTTTTGGGGGAAAATCCTGGAAATTTGGGGCTGAAATCCCCACAGATTTGGGAATTAAATCCCCACAGTTTTGGGAACAAATCCTGGGGTTTTGGGGGAAAACCTCAGAGATTTGGGAATTAAATCCCCACAGTTTTGGGGAAAAACCTCCGAGATTTGGGGCTGAAATCCTGGGGGATTTGAGGACAAATCCCAGAAAATTTGGGGCTGAAATTTCAGGGATTTTGGGGGAAAATCCTGGAAATTTGGGGCTGAAATCCTCCCAGATTTGGGGATGAAATCCCAGCAGTTTTGGGAACAAATCCTGGGGTTTTGGGGGAAAACCTCAGAGATTTGGGAATTAAATCTCCACAGTTTTGGGGACAAACCCTGCAAATTTGGGGGTGAAATCCTGGGGGATTTGGGGACAAATCCCAGAAATTTGGGGCTGAAATTTCAGGGATTTTGGGGAAAATCCTGGAAATTTGGGGCTGAAATCCTCCCAGATTTGGGAATTAAATCTCCACAGTTTTGGGGAAAAACCTCTGAGATTTGGGGGTGAAATCTTGGAGGTTTTGGGGGAAAATCCTGGAAATTTGGGGCTGAAATCCTCACAGATTTGGGAATTAAATCTCCACAGTTTTGGGGGAAAATTTCAGAGATTTGGGGGTGAAATCCTGGAAGTTTTGGGGGAAAATCCTGGAAATTTGGGGGTGAAATCCTCACAGATTTGGGGATGAAATCCCCACAGTTTTGGGAAAAAATCCTGGGGTTTTGGGGGAAAACCTCAAAGATTTGGGAATTAAATCTCCGCAGTTTTGGGGGACAAACCCTGGAAATTTGGGGGTGAAATCCCCACAGTTTTGGGAACAAACCCTGGAAATTTGGGAATGAAATCTCAGCAGTTTTGGGGACAAACCCTGGAAATTTGGGGGTGAAATCCTGGGGGATTTGGGGACAAATCCCAGAAAATTTGGGGCTGAAATTTCAGAGGTTTTGGGGAAAAACCTCCGAGATTTGGGGCTGAAATCCTCCCAGATTTGGAGATTAAATCTCCACAGTTTTGGGTTCCAACCCTGACAGTTTTGGGGACAAACTCCGGAGATTTGGGGCTGAAATCCCCACAGGTTTTTGGGGTGAAAACCCCTCAGTTTGGGGGTGATCCCTGCTCCTTTTCCATCCAAATCCCGGCGATTTTGGTTCCAATTCCTGACGATTTTGGTTCCATTCCCGACGATTTTGGTTCCAACCCTGACGATTTTGGTTCCAATTCCTGATGATTTTGGTTCCAATTCCTGACGATTTTGGTTCCATTCCTGATGATTTTGGTTCCAATTCCTGACGATTTTGGTTCCAATTCCTGACGATTTTGGTCCCATTCCTGATGATTTTGGTTCCAATCCTGATGATTTTGGTTCCATTCCTGACGATTTTGGTTTCAATTCCGGCGATTTTGGCGGCTCCGAGCTCCGGCGATTTTGGGGTGAAATCCCAGAAGTTGTGGCCCCAAACCCCCCCAACGGTTTGGGGTGAAATCCCAACGGTTTGGGGTGAAATCCCAATGGTTTGGGGTGAAATCCCAA